TAACGAGTCTGGCAAGCTAACTCCCAACTGGGAAGGCCCCTACCGAATATATGAAGAGGTTAGAGACAGTACCTACCGTCTGGAAACACAAGACGGCCAGCCGTTACCTCGAACTTGGAACATAGATAATCTTAAGAAATATTTCTTTTAAAAAAAAATGTAAAGTCAAGGACTACTTGAATAAGTTGCAAATTACTATTCAATTTTGTATTAAGAGGGGCATGCCAACTGACCAACTGTCGGCTACTCTCCATGTTTATATTCATTTTTATTTTAAGAGGGGCATGCCAACTGAAAAACAGTCGGCCACTCTCTATGTTTAATTTAAGAGGGGCACGCCGCTTGACCGGCTACCCTCACATAATATAGTTCACCAAGAACTATCAAAAAACATGATCAGACCAGGCGTCAAGCCAACTGATCAAAATATAAAAATTCAATTCGACATGTCCCAACATTATAGCAGGCGTCCGACGGCATCCATCCGGATGAAATTCGTCGCAGAGAGCAGCTCCCTTTTGGGTGGAACATTGTTCTATAAACTAATCACACGGCACCTATACGACTGTCCCCAAGGGCAACCACGTAGCCGTTTTTGAGACAAGGATAACTCTATCACTAACCAAACCAGTGGTAGCAGTTGACATCTGAGTCGGATGACCCCCTGTATTACTTGGGATAAATTCAGGGGGTACCTCTTGAGTTAATAGCCAACAAACATTGGCGAATCAAGGGGTCCAGCCGGCCTCTGCCGCCTGGTACCTCTACTACTCAATCTAGAATGAGGACGACGGAGTAACACCAACGTTAACTCATAGTCACTCTCCCAAACTTGGTATGGAACCTAAAAAGTTTGAATAGACCACCTGTTTTTTGGCAAACAAGGGCATTCAAACTACTATTCCTACTAGGTTTCCCTTCGAGTTAATAGCCAACAAACATTGGCGAATAAAGGGGAACAACCGGTACCCACCGCTTGATACCTCCACTACTCAATCACTCGGCGACTAGGTAATCCAGTCTTTTAAACGGGACCAATACCGATTGAATAAATGGCCGACTGATCGCCCAGCTTGGAAACAGACAACCAGTCGTCCAGGGGCATAGGCGGACCATCCGTACCTGGCTACAATCGGCCATGCAAAACAGTCGATATAGTGTACAATTCAATATCAAATATTCAACACTTAGACAAATTTCAAGCAAAATAAAATTGCATTAAAGAAGATTAAAATATTCAGAACCCCGGCCCCCTGGCCGGGTAAATACAAGCAAACGGCTCGCAGGCCGTGAAAGAAGACATAAAAGCTTAAGAAGGGGGCAAGTCTTCAACATTAGCAGCGTCCGCCTGGTCAGCATTCCTCTTGTTAGACTCGGCCTCAGCTGCATCCTTCTTCGATGCCTTGCCCCCAAGTGGCACAAGCGCCACTATCGGCTGCTCATCCCCATCCAAGGCCTCCTCCAACGCCTCGTCCTCAGCAGCCGCCAGGATCTCTTGATTATATGTTTCAGAACACTGGCGGTACGTTTTTTCCCACGAGGCAAAGTCGGCACTGGGGAAGAGGCGGCTCCAGGTCATGCGCTGGATCTGGGAAGAGTCTTCCATCATCTCTCGGACGAGCTCTCTCTTCTCTTGCTCAGCCTTCTCCGAGAGCTCTTTAGTTAGACTCTTCTCCTGGGTCACCAGGCGTTCCTTTACGTTAGCCAAGGATTTCTCCATGGCTTCGTATGAGAGCATCTTTTGGCGGAGAGGTTTAAGCTCGGCCTTGAGATTGGAGACGGTCGCCTCCAGCTCGCTGTTCCTCTTCTGGGCCGCCTCTAACTGAGCCCGGATAGCGGCGGCAGCCTGCGCCTGATAATAAAGAATATCAATTGTCAGAACTTCATTTTGGGCAATTTGAAACATTTCCTTATCACAGTCAGAGGCGGCCATAGCTTTTGCAGCCTTTACCTCTTTGTTCTTCCGATCAAGCGGCTTGCGGAGGCCGTTCACTCGGAGCAGGGCCTAAGTAAAAAGGGAACAGGCGTCAGTTTCCAAACAAAAAAAAACAGGCGTCCTGGAATTCAAATAACCAAAAATATGCTAAGTATACCTCAGCAAGGACCCCTGCAATCCCATCAAGGTCAAGGGTGTCGACACCCCTGACCGCCTCCCTTTCAGATGGAGGAACTGCTTTGATCATGGACTTGGCTACCTCTACCAAGTCAGGCTCCTGAGGGCCGGCTGCATCAAGCGTAAAAAAGCAAGTTAGACCTAGTCAAGAAGGAAGCAAGTGTAAAAGTTTTTACAAGTAATTGTCCATACTTCTAGGCGGCCCCGCCGGAGTTTTAGAAGAAGTGGCCGGCTGCTTCTCAGCCGCCACTGTTTTCCTGGAAGACCCAGGAGAGCTTGCAACAGTCGTCCTCCGGGCCTTGGGGTCCGGCTGTTGCGAGGAAGAAGCTCTTGGAGTGCCCGACTGAAAAAAAAAAAAAAAAAAAAAAAAAGAGTTAGTATATGCATAAGACAACTCCTAAAAGAGGAAGAGTTTCGAAGCCCACCAAGGGTGCCCCCTTGTTGGGGGAGTCGGTATAAGACTGTTGCATGAGAGAGGCCCGCAACATGGCCGCCGCAGTCTTGGATGCTGTTATTTTACTCATGGCGTCAGCTGCAAAAAATAAACAGCAAAGTTAGTAAAAATCCCAAGTAAACAAGGCGTGAAAAAACAGAGTATTTGTCAGGCCGGCTACCTCTAGAGCACCGACTGCTGAGGCCACAGGCGGCCAAAAAGTACTCGTCATAGAGCCACTTGAAGCTCGGGACGCAGTTTAGGGGTACTTGCTCTCGTACCCCTGAAGTAGAGTTCACCCTAGTCTCTACTTTGAAGAGTCCTTTGTCTAGGATCTCTTTTTTAGCCTTTGGGGGAACAGGCGGCATGCTGCGGCCGCCTGCGAGAAGAGGCGGATCCCTATTCCACTTGTTAAAGCGTTTGTTCAGCTCCGTGTCTGAACCCTCGATTATAAGGAAGGTGTTCCGCCAATCCTTCCATTTGTTCGCCTTACCTCTCGTCATGAGGTAGCCCCTATGGCTTGTTAATTGATACCAGCCGGTACCGCCCGACTTAAGGGTCCGGCTGAGATAGTTCATGTGGGCGAAAGCCTCAAAGCTTGGCTCCACCCCGTACATTTCGCACCCGGCCACATAGCCGAGTACGTTTACCCAAGAGTTGGGGGCTAACTGCCATAACCCCAAATCATACCCATCTAAAATCCGCTGAACAGCCGGATGTAATGGGAAGCGCAGTCCAGCTTTGATGGCCGCCACATAGCAGCCAAAGCAGCCGTCATCATAGCTGGTACCAGCCGGGCAGACGACAGTGTCTTCTGGATCCGGCACGAACAGTAAAAATTCGGGGCCCATTCTGTGGTTAGCTATAAAGCTCTCCACTTTGTCTTGCATGGCTGCGATCCGGCCCCGGGGTACCGTGCAGTAGTAGGGGGTGTTTTCCTCTCTGTAAGAGGCGGACGGCTCCGCCCAATTGCCCCCCTTCTCAACTGCATGAGAAAGCCTCGCCTCTTGTAGGCGGTTGTTTCTTTCTTCTGAGCCTGGAGAAGCGTGGCCAGAAGAGCTGGACTCGGACTCGTCCTCTGACGAGTCCAAAGAGGACGACTCCTCCCCTCTCCCAGAGGGGCCCGCCTCCTCTCCCTTAGAAGGAGCAGGAGAAAAGTTAGACATATCAACGGTGAAATGGGAAGGGACCACCTTGACCCCTCCCTCAGAACTGTCGGCTTGGCAGCCGCCTTGTTTCACTTCTACATCTGGCGCCTGGTCAGATGTTTCACTAATGGGCACCCTTTGGGAGGAGCCGTCCGAGTGTGAGATCCTAGCAGTCTTTTTTGTTCTGGCCATCACGTTCTGCATAGACACAGATACAGTCGGACTTTGTATAAAGGGCAAAGATGGGTCCAGAAAAGGGCAGGCGGCACTCCTAGTCCTAGATTCAGCCGTCCCCGGTGACCGGCTGATCACTAACTTAGGTCGTGTCGTGTGCTTCCATGGTGCCATTTCAAAAAATAATAATAAGAAAAAAAATTAAGAATAAGAGAACCGACGGTTACCTGAACGAGTGACGACTGATGAAATTCTGAAATCCTTTGCAAACGGCTTGTCAGAGCAGGCGGTAGGCAACAAAATTCCAAAGTGTCAGAGCAAGTTCAGGGGTCCGAATGTTCTCTCGCAAAGTTCTCAAATGTGAAAATGACCGAAGTCAACACTTCCTTATATAGGCAAAGTGAGAAGGCGAAGGGTCGCTTCCAAATTCAAAATTTGGGCGGGAAAATCTCTCGGCCATTTGCAAGGTGACACCTGTAGCAGGCAGTCGCCTGTCACCATGCGACACCTGTCACAGGTGACACGTGACCAGTCACGTGCCACCTGTGAGGGGCAAATGATTAGGGGATTTTTATCCATCAATCACCGTCTGACAAGTGGACCAACCAGGTTCCGCCACGTGTCCTTCACGTAGGCCAATAGGAGCCTGCCACGTGTCAATCACAGATACGTCCTCTACGGACCAATTGAGACACGCCACGTGTCCACCCATGCCAAATGGGAAAACCGGCCAACAAGGCCCAATCCTGTTTAGAGGCCCAGTCAGCCCTAGGTTTACCCTAAACCTAGAGAGTGGCACGCTTCCCGAGGTTATAAATACCCCTCTTAATCCTCATTAAGAGGGGGAGGACTCGAAAACAACACACGGATTGCACATTAAACACTCTCACCTAGAGAGACTAAATCACTTTAATTTCCGCATTTATTACTCCTAAATCAGGTACTAACTTGACCGTTGGAGGCGGAGCTCCTACCACAAGGAGTCTTCGTTGTTTTGCAGGTACAGGCGTCCGGTTCCAGTCTCGGTGTTGTAACTCTCCCGCAGGACACCAGAAAACCCCGAAACAAGTTGCATACAAAACAATAATAAATTTCGGATCACAGATGCATATGATCTTGATGATAATTGATCTCAAACAACATTGGATTATTATTTCTCATTTCATCAAACAAATTAATGTACATTTGATTCACAACTCATCATGATATTGTACACTAGAAGAGGGAATCCCCTGTATATGATTGAATACATTTTGTTGATCAATAATGGTCTTGACTTTAACCAATCTATCATAGTTTCCCAAGAAATATTTCTCCCCCCAAACTCTAGCCTTTTTATCAGTATCCTCATCTTTATCCGTAAAATCAATTGTTCCAAGATCAAGGTCTATGTAATTTACATAAGCTGCCCTAGGGTTAGAAGCTACGAAAGGTGTCATGTAATCGTAAACTTTCCTAATCCAACTCAAAATCCGATTTTCATCATCTTCCTCTACCCAAAATGAAATGTACAAAATGTTATATAGGTTGCCTTTTCGATGAGGAAATGCTATCGAATCATTGCTTATCCGATCCATAATACCTCCATAAGGGTCCAAGAGAAGAAGTCCCATAGGTTCTATAGCAACCATTTCAAGTGCCCCCTCTAGTCCCTCAATCGAGATGGGTTCTCGAACATAATCATGTATGACTTATCTGCCCAATACGGCGATTTTAAATCTTGGGCTGTACTCCCTTTAGGAAGGCCCGAGAAATACAAAACAGACTCGATCCAACTCATTTCGAGGTACTCTTCTTCACTAATCTCCAACTCCAAATAACGTTGGTTAACATTTGACATTGCCTCAAGTCTTGACCCAAGATAAAGCCCTTTAAAAGTAACATACACTTGTTTACTTGTGCTAGAAGTGAGATAGATTGAGATATGAAAATCATCCTCCAAATATGGTGCAACAAATTGCCACTTGTATATTAATTGGGCCAACTCATGAATTGGGCCTTGTTTAACACTAAAGCAAGTAACCCTTTAGGAACATGGACTAGTTGAACCTTCCACCCATAAACAACCCCAAAATTTCCGCCACCACCGCCTCGTAAAGCCCAAAATATCTCCTCCCCCATCTCAGCCCGGCCCATTACCCGGCCCTCAGCATCAATCAAGCCCACATCCAACATATTATCAGCTGAAAGCCCATACTTCCGGCCCAAAACCCCAATCCCACCACCAGAAAAATGCCCACTAACACCAACTGTGGGCCCTAGCCCAGCAGGAAACCCATAATAACTACTGTGGGCTGCAATAGCAGAGTATAATTCCCCTAAAGTTGCACCACCTTCAACCCAAGCTGACTCAGATTCAAGATCAACAATCACACGGTTGAGATTCATCATATCAATGATAACAAATGGGTTGTTGCCACGTGGAATTGAGGATATACCTTCATAACTATGACCACCACACCTGATTATAATCTCTAGAGATAATCCTCTGCAGCAGAGTACAGAGTTAGCTAGCTGCTCCTTACTCTCTGGTAAAATTATAGCCGTTGGTTTTGGGGTTGAATCTTTAGCAACCCTTAGATTTTGGAGAGAGAATTTGAGAAAATGATTGTAGTGTATTGAAGAAATGTGGGTTGAATTTGGGTGTAAAGTAAAGTTTGTGATTTTATGATTATTAAAGCAATTAATTATGGGAAAATCTGTGGTTTGTGAAAGAATATTAGTAAATTGACTAAGAAAGATGAAAATTTGAAGAAAAAAGATTGGATCTTTGTGAAATTTCGACATTGATGAAAGGAATTACAAGTAGTGGAAAGAGATACTGTAACACTGATGCTAGTGAAAGGTGTTATATAAAAGGAAATTTATGCCAAGTGGTTGAGATTTGAGAATATCACTATCACGTGTTTCATGGCGAAAATATTTTTAACTCAGAAATTTTACTACAGTCTACGTATAATAGTGGAGGTGTAAAAAGCATACCCGACCCGATTTGAAATTAATTCGAAAAATATTCAACTCAATTTTGGATTTGCGTGGATATAATAATTCAGCATGACTCAACTTTAAAAATTAATCCAACTCAATCATTCGGATTAACACCTATAATTACAAGTCGTGTTACTGTACATCTGTACATGATAGTAAATCTAGTTTAGGCGTTGGAATTTTTTTTCTTATTCTTCATTAAGACAAGAGGGCTACTAAACCACATCCGCATTTTATCAGGTAACATTCATATTTTAACGTTGAATGAACTTACCTTCACGTGTTTTCCATCTCCTAACTCACTCTAACATTTTTTACTTGAAACTCATAAAATTTTTATGTGAACAATATTGTGAGACAGATGGATAATAATTGATAATCATTGCACAAACCTTTAAATAAAACGGATGTTCAGTAAAGACTGAACATCCATTATAAAGTGACAATAAAATACGCAAAAGTTACACTAAAACGCATAAAAGTTACCCTGATATATATGAGTTATTTATGCTTTATTAATAAATTTGACAAAAGTGACACTAAATTTGACAAAAGTGACATTAAATCTGACAAAAGTGTACCCGATGTACAGTAAATTACTGAAAACCAGGTGTATACAAAAGTTTTCTTAATCATTGAATTGAATTATTTGATAAAATCATGTAGGACTTATTTTAGAATTAAAAAATATCATAAAGTATAACTCCACTATCATTCTTCCTTGGCTCCGCTGTCAAAGAAACAAAAATTATTTGTATGATACGTCCCCTGAGCAGGTAAAAGAAAGCCATTCACATATTAGAATGGCCTATCGTACCGACGAAAGCAGAATATGGATGTCATTCTTTTGTCCATGAAATGGCCTTTTTTTTATTAGGAACGAGATAAAGCAATTTGTGACAAGATGGAAAACTGAAGGACGTATGCAATACAGCAATAATGTTGTTCAGCCCTCATTAAGTCATTAGACAAAATTTGGTCTAGACTTGAACTGGTTTTTTTAAAAAAAAAAAAATAAATAAATAAATAACCAATATATAGTGGGTTTTCGTATTCTTAATAGTAACGGGGCTAGGATTTTAATGTTGGTAGGGCACTACGTACTAATCCAATATAAGCACATCTGGATAGGAAAAAAAAAACAAGCAATTAGCATAGAATACCCTTTAGAAAGAAGTATCTAATGAAGTAACTATCAATTTATCAGTCATAGAGAAAGTTATAAACCAAGTCACATTCCAAAATGTGTAGGATGTAACAATTGAAGGTAGGCATGAACTATTAAAATTACAAACAATCATGTGTAAAACCCAAAACAAACAAATAAGGTACGTACACGGTTCACCTATTTTACCCTCTTGCATTAATACATTCGAAGTTGAACTAGAGAGAATTGGTTCTTCTAAATTATGTAATTATTATAATGAATAGACAAAATCAGGCTTATAACTAGCTAGTTAGATCTGAAATTCAGGATATAATATGTCACGTAGCATGTATCGTCCTTATATTAAGAGACCACCACCCTTTAGTTACCTGAATTTCCGAGACTCAGTTAAGTTATATCGCTTAAATTGTAAGCTAGGACGTTCATATTTGATCACCCAATGTCATGAAATGAACTACTGTATTACTTGGTATTATAGTATGATGAGTATATAATAATGGATACCGTTAATCTTCTCCCCCATGTGTTAGATAAGCCACACTTACCCAACAATAAAAGGTTGGTATAATTATTTATTTTTTAATCTATGTTAGTTTGGGGTTTGTAGTAGTTCTAAGTGAATGTTTTATGTATGTAATTAAGTATAGTATTACTTTAATTTATCTAAAATTAGTTGTCATATTATTTGAATCCTAAATGTCATATGAAAGTGTTGCAACGTGAATTATTCAATATTGTTTATTCTTTATTTTTCATAATAGCTTAATTTACGACTGTAACTAGTTCTACATATATATAATATAGTGATTAGTGAGCTTAAGTTTACATCTTAAAGGGTTTTAGCCTTCATTGAATAAAAAATTGTTTATAAACCATGAAGCTCAAGTAGATCAACAATACTAACTAAGTGACAAGAAAATCATGTTCATTGAAACAAAAAGAAATATTACTTCAAGTAGCAATAACCGAATGGCAAATGTATTATAATAAGTATGTTAAGATATATATAACTATATAAGAATGAGATCATGTTTAACCCATAGCAACACGTACAATTTACAAAGCTACTACATACATACACAAAGCTAAACCTTGTAGTATTAGAAATGGCTAGTCTTAAAATTATTACTACTCTCTTCCTTCACTTGGTGATAGTTATGCCATTCATCCTCCACGGCGTAAATGGCTATGGCCTACATCCAGGGTTTTACTCGACATCATGTCCACAAGCGGAGGCCATAACAAAGAAGATTATCAATGAAGTTATCGCGATTGCGCCTTCACTTTCTGGCCCTTTGCTAAGAATGTTCTTCCATGATTGCTTTGTACGGGTATGCATCTTAAATATAATCATCTCTTATTGTTGAGAATTTTTTTAGCAATTTTCAACAAAGGAAATTTTTATATATGTACGCTTTTTTAAAGTATAGGTATTTAATTTTCAGGGTTGTGATGCGTCTATTCTTTTGGATTCCCCAATCAAACAAGCTGAAAAAGATGCACCTCCAAATCTAACTCTTCGAGGGTTTCAAATTTTTGATAGAGTTAAAGATGCATTAGAGCAAGCATGTCCAGGGATTGTTTCATGTGCGGATATAGTTGCCATAATTGCAAGAGATGTTGTGGCCGCGGTAACTACATACACTACTACTTCTGTCCCCTTCTTATATAACTTAATCATGCATCTAATTTTATTGATTTACCAACTTTAACAAACATTATTAATTTATCAAGGTTTCTAGTGATATAAAATTAAAGAATTGAAGTATGAATTACAATATTGTAATTGTAATAATAACAAATTTAAGTTATACTTGAACATATATATATATAACAAGGAGCAATACATTCATATTACACCTAAAAGAAAATGAATACTATTATTCACCTTGAATTTATTAATTAATATTGTTATATACAAAGTATGTATTAATGTATATTTACCTCTATATATATAGGTGGGTGGACCATATTGGGAGGTCGAAACTGGAAGAAGAGATGGTATAATATCATCCCTCAATGAAGCCCTAATTAGTCTTCCATCACCCTCATTAACAATAAACTCTCTTAAAGCAAGTTTTCAACAAAAAGGACTTACTACCAAAGATCTCGTTGTCCTTTCAGGTACTCGCACTACCGACTTCCTATATAATTAAATTAACTAGAGTATATGCGTGCTAACGTGCAGTATATATATAACACGTAAATTTAGAATGAAAAACAATAGGAGATGTGGAAGTAATTAAAAAAAATGGTAAAGTAGAAGTTATTTAATTGGAGGTTATAGTAAAAAAAAAAAAAACAAAAATGCATAAGATTTTACAATTGGACTTTTATAGAACTGTGGTTAAGTGTTGAAAAATGACTTTGTAATAATATAAAAGATATCATACATATGATTCATATCAATAGATATAATTTTAGTATCTTATCATCTTGTTATTACGTACAATGTTGCAGGTGCACACTCAATCGGAATATCACATTGTTCGTCTTTCATAGATCGACTATACAATTATACTGGTATAGATAACACCTCGGACCCAACCCTAGACCCCGAGTACATGGCTAGGTTAAAATTGAGTTGCACAAAAAATGGTCCAAATGTATTGGTGGAAATGGACCCTGGAAGTTACAAGACTTTCGATGTGCACTACTACGAGCTCGTGTCGAAGAGAAGAGGATTATTTCAATCGGATACTGCTTTGCTCGATGATCCTGAAACCAAAGGTTATGTTGAAGCACATAGATATGATAATAGTAGAGAAACTTTTTTCCATGATTTTGGAACGTCAATGGTTAATTTGGGTAGGGTTGGGGTCCTTACTGGTAATTTTGGTGAAATTAGGAAAGTTTGTTCCAAGGTTAACTCACTCTAATTTCAACACATAGCCAAATGTTTAACTTCTTCCATTTTTGAATTATTAAATGATTAATTAATATTATTTTTCTTTTTGAATTTATAATGTTAATGTGTAAATTCAAATTGTTTGAAATTTTTTTCTTGTGTAACAAAAAATTACAAGTCAACAGTCGTGGTACACAAAGGCCCAACGTACTTGATATTAGAATTCCTTGATTAATAATTACCTCTTTTATTATCATAATTATTCAAAAAAAACTTTTGAATTCCACTTTGGGTATTTTAGAAATTTATATGGAAATATCTTCGATCGGCCGCAAATCCCCAAATCCCCAACATTAATGACAAGTCTAGTACAAAATGTGTCAAAATCTAATCTGGCCTATTCGACTCGAAAAATATCCAATTTAAATTTCAACTCACATAAACATAACAGTTTAGCATGATTTAAATTTGAAATAAGATCCAACTTAACCTGACCTTACCAAATCCGAATAGACCTAACCGACATGGGTATTCGAATTGACACATTAATTAAATACAAGCAAGGACAACCAAAAAAGCCTTAATTCTAATTTCTAATTCCAATTTCTAAAGGATATGTTGCGAATTGTGACCAGCAATGCTTGGTAATAAACTAATAATGATGAATTGATGATGGTTTGTTGTGTGTACACTGGGTAGTAGCTTAACATGCACAAAATTGGACCTTGAATCGGAAGCATAGTGCTGAAAATTTGGATCTAAATTCCAAATGTCAAGTTGTGTAAAGGCCCGGCCCAATAGTTTGAATGACCTTTTAGACAAGCCCTTTTATTGTTTTCGTCTGTGCCTCTGTGAGTCTGTGGTATTAAAGGCATGTTCGAGCAAACAACCAAAACCTTAATTCTATATTCTATTACCAGTGAGAAAAAAGGGGGAAAAAAATAATTACTTGACCCGCTTTGTCTTTTACCCTGTTTACCACCACTTTTTTTACCATCTTTTGTAATTTATATGTAGGGAAAGACATATTCATGTGAGATTTTATAAGAATTGTCTCAGTTAGTTTTATCATAATATATAATTTTTATACTTTTAACTTATGGAAAATTAAAGTTATTGATTTTTAAAAAGTTACTTTGGCAAACGTGATAAATAAAACAGGTCAAGTATAAAAGAACCGGGGAAGTATGAAGTATTATTTATATGCACTCAAACTATATTTGGTGTAGTTGAAGCTAATTAACTTTTTTAAAAATAAAATAATGAGGTGTATTCTATTAATTTGATTTTTACTTATCCATACTTAACTAAACTTATTAAAACTATTTTATTTGTAATTTATCAAAATTTATTTTTGTTTACCTGAATTTATTTGAATTTAAGTGTACCTATTAAACCTAAAATAAGTGAAAATAAGGTAAACAGAATCGGCCCTTACTTTATATTTCGTACAAATTATAATAAAGTTTATCAAATGTTAGTTAATTGAAATCCAAAGCAATGCTAATGAATTCAGGCAAAATAAAATAAATTTAGCAAGAATACTTTCAATTTTAAAATAAGTTGAGATAAAAGTTCAAAAAAAAAGGCGGATTAATTAATTTTAACAAATCTGTATCAGGGATTCAGGGATAACATTTCATAGTCTTAGCCAACTATTAACTACAGTACTATACTATGAGTAATATTTAACATTTTAACTAGAGAAAATTGCTCAAGATCTGATGAGCCACTTTTTAATTTGGTTCTTTTTATATCTAGCTCTTACCACAATAAATACTATTTTTAGGGGCCGTTTGGTTCACACGGGGTAAACGGAATGAAATGAACAAAGGGAATCAAAGAGAATGGAATGAAACCCTTTCTTTATACTATGTTGTTTGTTTTTAAAAATCAAAGGCATGGGAATGAGGGGTTGTGCATTGGTGGTAGTGACTTCTCCAACCACTCAACCGCCCAACCACCACCTCACCGCTCGTTGTCGTACCTCCTCCACCATTGCCGCCCGTCGCCACACCTTCCCCACCTCTCGCCGCCCGGAAAACCACCTTCCCCCGCCCACGAAAACCTTCCCCCCGCCCACGAAAAACCCTAGAAACCCATCCTCGTCCCCTTAAAACCGCCAGCCGTCACCTCCCTTACCCTCGAAACCCTAGCCGCTAGGGTTTCTAGGGTAAGGGAGGTGATGGTCGGCTGTTTTAAGGGGACGAGGATGGGTTTTCGTGGGTGAGTTAAGTTTTTCCGGGAAGGGAGAATTCTTTAGAGGGAGGTGCGACGAGTTCTGATTTGGAGATGGGAAGGTGCGGCACCTGCCGGCGAGGATTGGGCGAGCTCCGGCGACACCCGACGAGGACTAGGCGAGCTCCGGCGAGGTGGCGGCTGGGGTAAGTGGGTAAGGTAGTGACTGGTGTGTGTAGTGGTGGCTTAGGAAAGGAAATGGAAAAGGCTAGGGGGTGGGGAATCAAGATAGAATGATCATTTTAGGTAAAGTCAAAAATAAAAATGGGTAAAGGGAATGAAAAAAAATGACAAACAAACAACAACAAAGGGAATGAGGCATATTCATTCCCTTTCCCTTTGATTATTAACCCCAACCAAACGGCCCCTTAGTATAATCTTCATTGAGACATAGCTTAATTATTTAACAACTATTTTGACAATCAGACCATCCCTATTAATTAATAAGTTAATTGTTGTATGAATATTGACCTTCACAACTCATAAATGTTGACTATTGATCGAATACATCGTCTTATAATATTATATTATAAGGAGAATGAAAGTTGCGAATCAAAGGCCAATTAGGATGTTTTAATTTGCATGCATGCATGTGGGATGTGATCATAAATTTTCATGAGTTCCTGTCAAATCTTTACACTGCATCCTACCCTTATTTCATGGGTGCTCAATACAATATTCAACCCCTTTTACATAACAAACAAACCTGCCGCGTATTCTTCTTTCTTTTTGTTTACGTATATAATGATTGTTCATTTATTCACAAACGATAACCTTGTTTGGCTTGTTTTATTTTAAATAACATGTAGTAGTAGATCATACCTACGCAAATGCGCAATATATATCTATTTACAAAAAACATAAATCTTGATATCAAAAGGAAAATTTATTGAAAGCTATTAAGTTATTAAATATTGGTATAACTGATTCCTCTATTTATACGAAATATATAAATTATATATAATAATAATAGGATATTTTTGAAATGTAATACGTAAACAATAATAGAAAGTTGCCAGCAGAGATAATAGAAAGTACTGTATGAAATTTCCAATATTCATTTGGAGCTATATGTGTATTGATGATATTATTTGATAAAACAATAATCGATGAAATTCCAACACCTATTTTTGGAGCTATGCATTGATATTTTGATAAAGCAAATAATGTCATTTTTTACAACTTCCTCCTATATTTTGTCTTAGCCCTAGTTTGCAGTTTGCAGTTTGCATTTGGATTTTTAGTTGTAATTTTGTTAACATTTGAGCTTCATCTGTCCCTTCAACCCCCCTCCCCCCCTAGATTATAAAGACAAGTAACAGTAATTTATAGGTTAAATATTTAACAGCTACCGTATGAAATTTTTGGAGAATCATATATAATATATAATGAAAATTGAGAATTATTACTTTGGAGGGCAATTTTACAATGGCTACAATAATTATCGTATTCATGATTGGCATGACAAGCTTGGTGTGTGTTAATGGCAATCTGTTATTTTGCATCCTAAATAAATTTATTTGATTTATTTTTAAATATATTTTTAAATTTCAATTGGATAAACAATCAACATGAGCTTATGTTTAAAAATTTTAGAGCACATAAGTAAATAAAAAAAAATAAAAAATAAAAAGTTATAAGCTCCTACTTTACTAATCATAACTTCAATTCCTTTTTATTTTTGATTTTAAGAAAGGTAATTTGTTTAATAAAAAGTTTAGAAACTAAACTTGGATTGATTTTATTAGTTTAATCATTGAATATTTATCTGAACCAATACAATTTTATATTACTTTTGACGAATGTAATTGCTTCATTCCAATTGGCTCTCAATTTACAGTTTTCAGTTCTCATATTATTCTGTATTAAATTATGAAATATGTATACCCCATTACATGATTTTAAGGTTATAATACAAGATCAAATCTTACTGGCAAAGTTGGAGGAATACTTGGGGTGTAGTGAGATTGCCTTAAATTACCATACCCTCACGACGCGACCTCACCTCCAATATGCCTTGAGTCAGTGTAATGTGCATACTAGATTAGTAGATTGTAATTAAGATGAGTGGATGGAGACTTAGGGTTTGTTCACATTCACTTAATTTCAGTTCAGTTCCAATCAGTTCAGTTCAGCTCCAATTAGTTCAATTCAGTTCAGCTCCTAATTTCTCTCTCTCATAAAATATTTATTTCAGCTCAGTGCAGTTCAGATCAGCTCCAATCAGTTCAGTTCAGCTCAGCTCAGTTCAGTAAATGTGAACAGGCTCTTATACCTGTGCCTAAAATTATAAAATTAAACACAAAAAGAAAGAATAAAATACCTGTAATTAATATGAATAATCTAATAAATAATTTTAGGTGTATGAAAACCTTCATCCGCAACCATACTCATAGGCAGACCTATTACAAGTACAAGTTTAGAAAAGTCACCGATAAATATATCCTAATTCTATGACAAATATTATCACAATATAATATCTATCTTAAAAGAGAAAAAGGAAATTTCATTACTTTTAAATAGAACAAAAAAAGAATAAATACACCAAAAACTAACACTCAATTCAATTATTCTTAGCTCAATACAATACATAAAATAAAATTGTTTCTTGATTATTCTTAGAATTCTGGATCCACTACCACGACCAATCTTAATTCTTACATATAATCATCATCATTCACGAATTATTGATATATTTAAGTTTTTTGTTCTTTATGTTGTTGAAGGACAAAGTTCATTAATTAATAAGAATCTAATAAGCATTTCTCTATCTCCATGATATGATTCTAAACT